GAAAACAGTATGGAGATTTCTCAAAAAGTTAAAAATAGAAATACCCTATGGCCCAGCCATCCCATTACTGGGTATCTATCCTAAGAACCTGAAATCAGAAATCCCAAGAGTCCCTTGCACCCCTATGTTCATCGCAGCATTAATTACAGTAGCCAAGACGTGGAACCAACCTACATGCCCAGAAACTGATGATTGGATAAAGAAGATATGGTATATATACACAATGGAATACTACTCAGCCATAAAAAAAAAGACAAAATTGGCCCATTTGCAGCAACGTGGATGAACCTCGAGGGTATTATGTTAAGGGAAATAAGCCAGTCAGAGAAAGACGAACTCTATATGACTCCACTCAAAGGTGGAAGTTAACATATTGACAAGGAGATCTGATTGGTGGTTACCAGGGAAAAGGGGGAGGGTGGGGGGAGGGCACAAAGGGGGAAGTGGTGTACCCACAACATGACTAACAATAATGTACAACTGAAATCTCACAAGGTTGTAATCTATCATAACATTAATAAAAAAAAAAAGATAACAAAAAAAATAAAAGAGCTCATTCTTTAGTCAAGAGCAAAACTACCAAGATTTATCCTGATAGTAGATACACTTTTGGAGTAACTGATAATTTTGGAATGTTGTGGAAACAATGTGGCTTCCTTACTTCCAGTGAAAATAAAATAAAAAATGGCCCCTCTGTTCAGGAATTATTGGATGCTATACTTTTACCTGCTGCTTTACATATTATTAAGATCCTGGGGCATTTCTAAACTTGACTCTTTAAAAGCTAAAGGAAATCACCTTGCTGATACTTCCACAAGGAACGCTACTCTTAAAGGAACCAACCACAGCCAAACCTATGTCATGGTCCAAAGGGCTATTATCCTAAATGATAACTTAGAAAAACTGGCTAGAGAAGCCCAACAATTGGCCTCAGAAAACAAAAAACAAGAGTGGAAATTCAACAATTGTTGGTTTGATAAAAAGAGAAAGCTCTGGTTTGGACCAAATAACAACCCAGCCCTACCAGAGACTCTAAAATTCCCACTCCTAACCACTGTACATGCATTTAACCGTTGGTCTACTGACAAAACGTTAGCACTCATGAATCAATATTGGTGGGGAAATATTAATAATGCCACAAAAGTGCCGATCTCTCTCGTCCCACTTGTCCAAAATACAATCCAGGAAAACCTCGTTTGTACTGCTCCTGGACATTTTAAGCTGCCTACTAGACCATTTGAAGTCTGGCAAATGGATTTTACACAACTTCTCCTGTCTCATGGATATAAATATGTTTTAGTCATGGTCTGTATGTTTTCTCACTGGACAGAAGCCTTCCCACGCAGACAGGCTACTGCCTCTTCTGTGGCTAAAGTCCTTTTGGAAAAGATTATCCCTACCTAGGGAACTCCTCTTGAACTTCAGAGTAATCAAGGAACTCATTTTACTGGTCAGGTACTTTAAGTCTGCACTATTTGGCTGGTTTTACAACACTTTTCATTGCACTTACCACCTTCAATTTTCTGGTTTAGTTGAACATACTGATGGCATTATTAAGACTCAAAATTTGTAGAGACCCTCCAGACAGCTTGGCCAAAAGCATTGCCATTGGTCCTTCTAAATCTCAGATCCATCCCCTTTGGAACTCATAAACTCTCACCCTTTGAGATAGTCACCAGACGCCCAATGCACTTGTCTCCTGCCTCTTTTGACCCACAGCTGATAAAAGGAGATACATTCCAAAATTGCAAAGGCCTAATTGCTTCTATTAAAAATAACCATGTTTTGGTGGAGCAGTCTTTCACAGTGCACTCTAGGGAGACGAAGACCTTAAGCATCACACCTTGCAACCCGGAGATTTTGTCTATTGGAAAAGACACCTCCAGACGGGCTCTTCAACCTTGCTGGAAAGGCCTCTATCAGTTACTGCAAACTAACCCTTGTGTTGCAAAACTCTAGGGAACAGACTCTTGGATTTACGTGACACACCTAAAGAAAGCGCCAAGCCTGACTGGACCTGCACATCATCTGATGACCTAAAAGTAAAGATTTCCTGGCACTAAGCAGATGACAGCTGGTGAGACAGCTTTCCCAAGGTGTTTGGACAAAGCTTGTGGAAGTTTATCTGCCAAACCTTTGGCGATGATATAACGCTTCAGACAATCTCCAATGCCTATGATCTTGCTAACATACGGACTTTAGGAAAAAACATGCTTCAGAATTCTCCCTCCTACCCCTTCTTGTTACTTGAATGCGACCTTAATAGGTTTCCAATCTGTACACTTTTCCTCCGACATGGGACACGACACCCAGGAAAGGTCCTCATGCTCTATGAAGATGCCCAGCAAGAGCTCAGCCAATGAGAGACTGTCACAACTCAGCCAGTGAAAAGCTGCTATACTTCAAACTCTCAATTCCTCCAGTGGACTTTTTGTTTATAACAACCCTCCTAACTTCCTCTTCCTCTCTATAACAGAGTTTCTCCTCCCCTTATTGCTGGAACTTGCAACTTCCCCATGGTTGTAGATCCCCATGTAATTCTTTGTTGATTCCCCAAAAAACCCATTTTTGCTGGAGAAATAACTAGCTGTCTATTTGTTTAAGGTCAACACACTTATGCTGGAGAGAAATCTGAAGAGGATCAAAGTGTCAGTGAATTTAAGGGCTCAGGGTTTGGCAATGAGGTCAGTGACTTTGGAAGCTGTTTTGGTGGAGTGGTAGAGATGGATCAAATAATATCTCAAAAGGCTTGGTAGAAAGAAGAGAAAAGAACGAGGTGAGTATTATAATTCTTGAGGCTAGAAGGGAAGTGTATTAGCATCTTTACCTACAGCTTTTCTTAAGTAGTAATAGCATGTTAGGCAAACAACAGACAACAGAGAATTGACCTTGTAACAATTAGAAAAACATAAAAAATCGCCAAGGATTTTAAAACAGTCTGATTTATTTTGTAATTATTGTAACTTTTCTGCCTAATGCCCTTCATTAGCTTCATTGTTTGATAAACTAATGACCGAGAAGTGCCTCCGTGATCTGGATTCTGCTTACTTCTCCAGACTTATAGCTCACTCCTGCCCAACCCCGGACACATAGAGAGCTTCTTCCAGCTTTCCAAAAGCCTCAAACTGTTTCTTGTGCTGGTGTTTGTAGCTTCCATGTCTTCCAGTTCCTTCTCAGCTTGGTGAACCATAACCATCTTCCCAGACTATGTTCAAAGTTCTTCATAGTCTTTCGCGGTGCTCAGGGTTGATATTAACATATCCCTCTTCTGATTCCCACTGTACCTATATTATGTATCTTGTGTTTCTATCACCTAGCTCCAGGCTGGGTATATAGTCTATTTGATAAATGTTGAATGAACAAATAAATGAAGATTGCAAGTCTTCATGTTGCATCCATTTTTCATTAAAAAAGTGTGCAGTATAGCACAGTTGGTATTTATTGCCATACAATACTCAATTTTGTGATTTTGTTAAAACAAATAAGAAACCTTGTAAATATTATTTAAAACTTTTAAAGTAAAAAAAGCCCTAATCTCATTAGTCTATGTAATTTTCCATTTCATTTCTAAATGTTAAAGTGGGCTATTTTTTCTTTTTCATAAGCTCTTTCCTTTCAAGCAATTATCCTCTTTCTGTCTAAATTATTACGAAGAGAGATGGGCTTCTTTTTAAATCCAAAGGACTAAACTCAAACCAATTAAAGTTTCAGTGTTAGAGGCATCAAGGTGGTTTTAATCTCAGTTTATATGTGCATTTATGACCGTTGGCTCTCCCCAGCGAGACAAGGGAAAGACGGCCCCTACACCTGGTTTCCAGGTTGATTACAATCAACATGGGACAATGTTAGCATAAAAGGCTCATTTTATATTAAACACCTTTTTGGGAGGAGGAGGCGGTGGCGGTGAAGATAAAAATCCTTAATCAAAATCCTGCCAATTTGCATTGTTCTTTGGAGAACAGGCTTTTAAACGCCAAGGAACAAAAGAGGATTTGGTTTTCCCATCTCCTCGAGGCCGCAGCAGATTGTGAGGCAGCTACTGGTAGAAACCAAAGCATAAATTATCAACAGGAGGAAGGCGTGTTTGCGCCCGTGTGTGTATGTGTGTGTGTGCGCGCGCCGGGGGTGGGGGTAGGGTAGGAAAGAGACGGAACACTTGCTAAGGCTCCAAGGACTTTTTTGAGAGATACTTCGTTATGTAATATTTATAATGAAAGGCGCTGCAACCGCATCAGCGCACTGACCCGCATTCTTCCGGCCCTGTTTACAACCACAAGCTGGGATACAATGGGGATGGGAGGAGGGGACAAGCAGCGCCGTGCAGGCGAAGAGCGGTCCAAACAGCGGGAAACCAGCCCCTGGCGCAGAAGCCGAGCCCGGAGGATTTCCCCCCGGCTCTGGCACCCGTCCACGGACCCCGAGGCGCTGTACTGGCTTTAAGGATCAGCAGGAGAGCTGGTTTAAAAATGCAGGATCTGGGATCCAGCCTCCCAAGATTTTGATTCGGTAGGCGGGTAAAAGGGTTAGGGCTTAGGAATCTGCAGTCAGTCCGCTCTCTGGGGATGCTGAGACGGTGACCTGGGGACCTCACGCTGACTATGGCACACTGGAGCGTGGGCAGCGGCGGTCTCGCGCCGAGGGGGCTCGCCTGGCGCGGGACCGCGCGCGATCGCGAGCGCGCCGCTCCCCAGCAACGGCGCATGCGCCAGCTCGCCGTTCAGCGAAGCCGCCGTAGCTTCGCGGGCCCGGCTCCTCCAATCGGAGCCCGGCGTTCTCCGAGCGCGTCTCCTGGAGCTGCGGGCTGCGGGAGGCGGGAGGAAGGGGCGGGCCCGGGCGGCCAGCGAAAGTCTGGGGAGGTCTGCGAGGCTCGTCAGGTCTCCGGAAGTGGCCGTTGTAAACACCTCCGTGGGGCTTGTCCCCTGAAGTCCCCTTTGCTATTTGTTCCCCCTCCCCGGGTCCTAGAGTCCGTCAGTTTCCAACAGTTTATGCTCTGACCCCCGCCATCTGCCTGGGCCTCATTCTACCATTGAGATTTGAAGCCGCCTCTGGGGTCTTGGGTGTGCGGTCTGGACCACGGGAGCCCCCTGAGGTAACCACGGGGTGTGGGGGCTTCGAAGCGAACGACTTTGGCGGGCAGGTGTTGAGAGGAACGGTATAGGGGGCTTCGGTGAGAGTTATGGGGGACCCCGAGTTAGTTTGGAGGTGTCCTTGGGGCAATTCGCGTCGTCTGTGGGGACACGCCTCCAGCTCCCTGGACAGGGCCTCCCCGCCCACTTGGAGGAAGATGTCCCTGGAGCATCCTAGCCAGAAACCGCTGCCGCAGTACCCAGAGAGCTGGGTAGGGACCAGAGGGCAGGACCCAGGGGGCCTGCACTTGGAGCTGCTTAGGTTTACAACTCCGGACTGCCGCTCTTTTTCCCTCTCGAGAGTCAGTAAGTCCTTCGAGGACAAGGACCACGGTTTTTGACATCCTTTTTGAAAAATGCCAGCCACACACTAGACACTGTATAAATATTTGCTAAACGGAAGAGTGAGTTGTGCTAGGCTGTCTTCTGTAGCTTCTCCTGCTTACCCTTCAGGACTTTAAGAGACTTAGAAAAGTCAGCCGTGAGTTTTTCTGAGGCTGTAAATTTTCTGCAGAAGTGGAGTATCCTTTTGACTGTTCCTTATTCCATTATGATATTTTCTTAGGCAAATACATGTTTTTTCGTTCTAAGTAGATCTCAAATGATACTGCGTAAGTTTACTTGAGAAGCCATTTCACTTGGTGTCCGACTCTTTTGAATACATTATACAATCGATGTTTTGCAGTTGTTCCCATAGTCTTGCAGAAAAGAACCTGTCATTTGTCATTTGTTTTATTGAACAGTTAGTGCCTGCTAACAACAAAACAATGGTAGAGCAGGAAATGAACATGTTTTCCCCATGATATGAAGAGGAAAGAAAGGCAGTGCAACCTGCTAAGAGGAAAGATGAAGGGAGTAGTTTTAGGCTGGAGCTTTCTGGATTAGTCCTGGCCGACTTTGATTAGCTGTGTGACCTGAGCAAATAACCTAAGCTCCCCAGGCATTAGATTCCTTATGTGTCAAATAAGAAGGATGGACTTGGTCTCTAAAGTCCCATTTAATTCTAAAATTCTTTGATTGTCTCAGCCCATGTGTCTTGGTCTTCTTTTGAAGGAACCAAACATCCCCTTTAAAGGTGAAATATGTAACTCTTCAGATATAACTCTTCAGACATCACCAACACAGATGTGGTTATGGTTGGAGACACCACTGTGTTATGAAAGAAGATGGACTCAGGAGATGTGGCTTTGAGTTCTAACCCTCCCACTGAGCATCTTTTTTTTTTTTTTTTTGAGGAAGATTAGCCCTGAGCTAACTACTGCCAATCCTCCTCTTTTTCCTGAGGAAGACTGGCCTTGAGCTAACATCAATGCCCATCTTCCTCTACTTTATACATGGGATGCCTATCACAGCATGGCTTTTGCTAAGCGGTGCTATGTCCACACCCAGGATCTGAACCGGCAAACCCTGGGCCGCTGAGAAGTGGAACATGCTCACTTAACCGCTGCACCACTGCGCTGTCCCCCTGCTGAGCATCTTTATACAAGTTAGTCAAACTATCCAAGCCTCAGTGTTCTCATCTGTGAAATGTGCATAATAATCTCATAGGGTTATTGGGAGGATTCAGTGAGATCAGGTTATGCTTAGTGCAGTATCCGGCATGTAGTAAGTGCTCAGTATTGTAGTTTTTATCTTTTCATCATCTCCCCCTCCTTTTTCCCGTGATCTGTGCAGACACACTGGGAGATGAGTACATTCAGGATGACCTGCTGAAGGACTCAGATGTGGGGTAGGAAAACTTTGTACCAGCAGTGGCTCTGAAGTCTAAAGTAGAATTGTCTTTCTGGCTGGTACTTCTCAGGATATCCAGATAATTGGTCTTTTGGCCTCAATTGCTCTATGACCAATTTCTAAAAAACTTCTTATTGAAGAATGGTATACATAAACATCCCCCCATCTATTTTAATAAGAATGGTGAGACTAGTCCAACTCCGCTACCAAAAGAAGATTGATCTATTCATACGTTAACATAAAAAGCTGATCTACACGTTGCCTGTATCCATCACTGCTGTGGGATGGCCTGGTTTTGGCCGAAGCCTGTGGAAGTGCCATCTGGATTGAGAATCCACCAGAGGTCTGAGTCATCTTTCATTAAGAAGACTCTAACTTGTAGTTAGTTTGCATGGGGAGAAGAATCATCTGTGTTTGAGAAATATGCAGCAGGGAGCAGGAGTGCTTCCCTGATAACTGAGGTCTCACGTGCTCCCTGGCTGGGGATGAGCCATGTCTTGAAGGCCAATAGCAAGGCACACAGCAGAGTTCTGGAGTCAGCCAGTTTGGGTTTGAATCCAGACTCTGTCACTTACTAGAGATGTGACTTTGGAAAAGTGACTGACTATCTTTAAGCCCTAGTTTCCTCGGGTATAAAGTGAGGATCTTAACAGTATCTTCCCTTGGAGTTAGTGGAGAGTGAAGTAAGATAATCTATAGAAAGTTCTTAGCACTATGTCTGGAGAAGGGATGTTTGTCATAGTTGGAATGATAACAGCAGGCAATGGATTTGAGGTATCAGGTAATTGGTTCGTAGATAATGACGTATTGAATATTTTCAAGTGGAAAGCACTGTCTACAGAGTTACACAGATATTGAAGACAAAGGCTGACACTGACCGCATCACATAAGGAAGTTTTAATTACTCATGCAGATTAACCTGAGTATTTAACTTGTGGAGTTTGATAGGGAAGTTGCAGGTAAAGCTAGGAACACATATTATGTGGGGACCCTGCATTCTTTGACTTAGCTTACTGTTCCACTGACATTTTCACTGCTGTACCTAGCTACTTGACTTTCCTCATGTTTCCTTGCTTTCTTTTCACTCTGGTGGATGAAAAGGGAGATTTTGCTACATCTCTGCCATGTTCAATAGCATAGAAATCCCTTTGTAGTTTAAATTAAGCCACAGACCTAACTTTGGCTCTTCATTGGTTTAATATTCCTAAAACACACAGAAGTAGGCCCTTGAGCCCTAGTGTCATCAGGAGCTAATATCAGAGAGAGAGGAAGAAAAGAAGAGTGCTAAAGGAGACTTTAGCTAGGATTTTTTTATGATGAGGAGTTTTAAAAATTGAGATATAATTCACATAGCATAAAGTTCATCATTTTAAAGTATATAATTCCATGGTTTTAAGTATATTCAGTAGGTTGTACAACAATCACCACTACATAATTCCAGAACATTTCCGTCACCCCCAAAAAGAAACTTTGTACCTATCAACAGTCAGAGCCAATCCCCCCCTCCCTACCCTCTGGCCACCATGAATCTGCTTTCTATTTCTGTGGATTTGTGTATTCTGTACATTTCATATGAATGGCATCATACAAGATGTAGCCTTTTGTGTCTGGTTTCTTTTACTTAGCATAATGTTTTCCAGATTCACTCATGTTGTGGTATGTATTAATACTTCATTTCTATTTTTTTTGAAGATTTTATTTTTTTTCCTTTTTCTCCCCAAAGCCCCCCAGTACATAGCTGTATATTTTTAGGTGTGGGTCCTTCTGGTTGTGCTATGTGGGATGCTGCCTCAGCATGGCCTGATGAGCGGTGCCATGTCCGCGCCCAGGATCTGAACTGGCGAAACCCTGGCCTGCCAAAGTGGAGCGTGGAACCTTAACAACTTGGCCACAGGGCTGGCCCTTCATTTCTTTTTATGGTTGGATAATATTTCCTATTTTATTTGTCCATCGATCAGTTGGTGGACATGTGGATTGTTTTCACTTTTTGGCTATTATGAACAGTGCTGCTATGAATATTTGTGTACCAGTTTTATTAAAGTCCAGTAATTATCTTAGAATGTATCATTGTGTTAGTTGTGCTGTGTTCTCAGACGTGCAGTTTGTTTTTCGAAATGCAGATTAAAATCTTTTTGTATTTCAGGAAAGTTTTCTTGAATTACAGTTTTTAGTGTTTGTTCTGTCTCCTTGCTTTGATCTTCTTATTCAGGACTCCTGTTATCTGCATGTTGGTTATTCTTTGCCTATTTTTCAGTAATTTGTCTGTCTTTTGAATCCTTTTGATCTCTTCCTTCATTTTTTTATTTAAACATTTTTCGTGTTTCATTTCCTATATCTTTCAAGGCGTTTTTGTCGTATCTGTTTACTCTCAATGTTCCCTCTAATTTAGTCTTCATTACTGAAATGATTTTTTCTTTTATTTCTAATTTTTTCTGATAGTTGTCACCTTATTTCTGAGTTTTTTGAATTCTGATTCCTATTCTTTCATGTCCTATACCATTTTGCTAATGTCTTTTAGCTCATTTTAAAATAGTAAGTGATAGTTTTCAACTGTTTTGTGGGCATGTCTTTCTGTTATGCTTTCATTTGTTGGATTCTGCTCTGCTCCTAACTCTCTTTTTTCTTACGTTAACTTTGTATGAGATTTGACTGCACTACTTCTCTTTTGCTTATTTTTCTGGAAGATTCATTTATCTGAACTTTGAGAATGGGACAAGGTTCAGGAAAGCTTTTTGAACTTCATAGAATGCTGTCTGGTGTTGTTTTTTGTGAGTGTTAAAAACTATGATGGCTTGCTTTCTCACATTTCTTGGCCCTGTTTCCTCCTACAGTTTGGTCTGGGCCATCTCTTTACTTTGTCTTTATTTTCCCCGTCCTGCTCAATTTTGATTCCATCCTCAGCAGTTTCTCTTTAGTGTGGGCCCCTGTCCAGGAAGGAGGCCTTGGCAGGTCAGTGTTGAAAGTTCATGAAGACTTTCTTACCATGTACCCATTTCATGTGTCAACTCTTGGAATGGGCAGGCTTCTCCCAGTTTCATCTGCTGCTCTCAAATTGGCCTACTGTGCTTTCCATTAAGTATCTCTTGACTCTTTGGGAGTTCTGTTAAATGCAGCCTTGTTCTTTCCCTCTGCTTTCTCCTCTGTAGACACCTCAACTCCCATGCAGGTTTTGTGGCTGCTGGAGGTTTGCCCTTATTCATTTGTATTTTATGGTTCTTTTTGTTGTCAATGTTGCCCATGATTTTCTAGTTTTTCTTTGTAGTTACCTTAGATAGGGTTTTTAAACTCCCTCGTTTAAGTTAATAAGGAAATTAAACTATAGAAAAACAAAGAGACTTTATAAAAGACTTAGACAAGCAGGGCTGGTGTGAGAACGCTGTTTTGTGTTTTACCTGTCACTCAACTTCTTTTTTTTTCTTTTTAACTCTGCAAGAGCATTTTCAAGCTTCTTATCCATATTAGTTTTGTATTGTTGTGTAACAAGTTACCACAAACTTAGTGGCTTAAAACAGCACCCATTTATTATCTTTTGGTTTCTGTAAGTCAAGAGTCTGGGCACAGCTTAGGTGGACCCTTGGTTTAGAGTTTCGGTAGGCTGCAGTCAAGATGCTGCCTGGGCTGTGTTCCCATTTGAAGGCTTGAGTGGAAAGAATCTGCTTCCCAGCCCATTCAAGCTCTTGGGGGCATAATTTATTTCCTGTTGACATGTATATGACTGAGAGATCCAACTTTTTATTTGCTTGTTGGGTGGAGGCTGCCTGCAGTTCCCTGCCATGTGGCCCTCTCCATGGGCAGTTCACGCCATGGCAGTTTGCTTCTTCAAGGCCAGCAGGAGATTGTCACTTTAGTCTGCTAAGACAGAGTCTTACATAACATAACGTAATCATGGAAGTGTTATCCCATCACCTTTGCCATATTCTGCATCCCATCACCTTTGCCTTATTCTGTTGCTTACAAGCAAGTCAAGTTCTGCCCACAGAAGAAGGGAGAGTATCGTACAAGAGAGAAACACCAGGGAGCAGAGATGATGGGAACTATCTGTCTACTGTGTTATCTGTGTCAATGATCTGGAAATTGGCTAAATTTGCTCCTGAGCTATAAAAGACACTTTCTGGAAGACCATTCAGATTTTAAGATGTTGGATACCAAAATAATGCACTGAACAATGATGATTCTCTTCAATATAGCTTTATTAAAATAGCTGTATTAAAATTTGGTAAACTACCTCTTCCTACACTTCTCTGCCCAAGATAAAAACAAGCAAAAGATAACAGACATTATTAAGACCCTAACTATGTAAATTCTTCCCCTGTGAGGTAAATAGAGGTTCTTTTTTGTGCCTCTTGTGACACATATGCACACACACGTGTGTGTGTATTTAGTCTTTTTCACAAAAATGGAAACTTTTATATATGTACTTTTGAACTTTGGACATTACTCTTCAGTCTGGAAGAGTCCATTCCTTCTAAGTTCTACGTCTTTTACGTCCATTCTGAAGGCAGTTTCTCTGGAGTTTGGGAGCATGGTTGTGAGGTGAAAATATTTTGGGACTTAGTTTCAGAAGAGCTTCGTTGAGTCCTCATTGTCTCCCACTTAGTAGCAAATCATTTAGCCTCTTCGAATCGGGTGAGTTTCCTTAATTGAAATGAGGATAATAAACCTGAGGTAAGATGATTTATGGTTCAACTCTTTGTAGCAACAGTGGCCTTGTAGAAAGAGCCTAGGCTTTAGAGTTAGATAGTTATGGGTTTGAATCTTGGTCCTGTAACTGTGTGTCTTTTGGCAAGTTACTTCTCATTTCTGAGTCTTAGTTTTCTCCTTTGAGCAATGGGATGATCTTTACCTTGCAGTGTTGTAAAGATCAGAGTACTGTATATAAAGTACTGAGTACGGTGCTTGGCACTGTCGTAGGTGCTCAGTAAGTTAACGACAATGGTATTTGTTTGTCTACCACTATTCCCAGACTTAGTCTTTTAGGTCCTTGGAGAAGTGGTTCCCCCCCGCCCCATCTGGGTGAAAATTCCATCCTCTTTGTCCTAGGTCAGACTGTGCTACTGTCAGCCACATGAATTGCTGACTGTTTTAAAGATCCCTTGGTATCTGTCTAGAGGAGCCATTAGTCAGTTCTCAGCGCTGTGGTTGAGTCTACGTCTCAGTTGCTTGTTTGAGTCCTTTTCCTTCAGTGGTCTCTCTGAAGGGGGGTTGTTTATTGGGAGTGAGGACAGAACAGTTCAACCTTTTTTTTTGGGTCTTCAAGATATTACTCTGCACCTACAATTTCACTAAACAATTCTTTTACTTTCTTTTCTTTTTTATTTATTTTTTTTTGAGGAAGATTAGCCCTGAGCTAACTGCTGCTAATCCTCCTCTTTTCGCTGAGGAAGACTGGCCCTGAGCTAACATCCATGCCCGTCTTCCTCTACTTTATATGTGGGATGCCCACCACAGCATGGCTTGACAAGCGGTGCCATGTCCGCACCCGGGATCTGGACTGGCGAACCCCGGGCCGCCGAAGCGGAGCGTGCGAACTTAACCACTGCACCACCAGGCCGGCCCCAACAATTCTTTTATTACATCTTTCTTCTGGACCAAATCACCCCAAGTATCACCCATTCCCTTCATTTATCTGGGATCATTATATTTTCTCAGAGCGTTCTTTGTTCTGCAATAGAAACTGACAGTGACTGAGCACTGTATATGTGCTGTATATATTATTTAAGTCTCAAATATATATGTTGATATAGTTGTTCCTTTCCTATGGATGAGGAAACACCCTCAGAGTGTTTAAGTGACTTGCCCACGGCCACATACTTGTAAGGTACTTACTGGAATCCTAACTCAGATCTCTCTGAGTCCAAAGCTCATGGTCTTAGAATATTAGACTTTTTTTTTTCCTGCTTTATCTCCCCAAACCCCCCCGTACACAGTTGTATATCTTAGTTGCATGTCCTTCTAGATGTGGGATGTGGGATGCTGCTTCAACATGGCCTGACCACTGGTGCCATGTCCGCGCCCAGGATCCGAACCCAGGGCCACTGCAGCGGAGTGCTGAACTTAACCACTGGGCCATGGAGCCGGCCCCTATTAGACTTTTTTTTGAGGAAGATTGGCCCTGAGCTAACATCTGTGCCCATCTTCCTCTGTTTTATATGTGGGACTCCTGCCACTCCTGTTTAAAATGTTTACCCAGAGATTCCTTCATACTGTAGTAAAGTAATTTACTTTAAATGGTTGGCTCTATCTCATTTGGAGTATCTGCGGTAGAAGAGGGTTCCAGAGAGAAGGCCAGTGTAAGTGACGATACTCTCCTCTTTTCTTCTTCCTGTTTATCCCTTGGGAGAAGGCCTTTGAAAATTACCATGAGATCTTTTGTTTGGGAGTACATTGGCCTCTTTGATTGTAACATTGCAGCAAAAATATCTCATTTATGAAAAAACTTTGGGGACCCAAAAATGTCCCTGGACTTCATTATCTTTCAAACTGAATTCTGTGCCCTAGAGATAGGCACTACATGTTCTTTTTCTAGTTCAAGAACAATTTGTCACTGTTTTATTACACTATTTTTTCTTTTTATTTGAGAAATTAAAATAATCTAATAGTATTAACTTGTTCTTACAAGAAGGAACATCTTTCCAACATTTTGTCATTTTTGCTTCTAATCTTTTTTCAAAAGAAAACATCACGGCTTTAAAAATACGAGTATTTACGTGTTTCTTAGACAATAATTTAAAAAATACAAATAAGTCGAAGAACAAAAGAAAAATCACCTGTAGTCTCAGGATTCACATATATAACCATATTATATTGTTTACTATTTTAACAGACTTCAGCCCCTCTAACCTGTAAGCCACAGACATCTTGGACAGTTTTAATCATCAATAACGAAGTATATCATTAAGAAACAGTGGGGTATTTTGAAAGAGTTGGAAAACGTATCATGAGTTTGAACACTTCAAGTAATGCCACTGGTGATACCCAAAGGTAAGCCTCCTGTCTCTTCCTTTAGTCAAGGAATGCTTTTGTTGCAAGGAACAGGGAGAAGTAAGTGTTGGAGGGGTTGATTGGAAGAATTCTCATGGAATGGTAAGGGGAGTAGAAATTTCATGGGACTGGAGGAGCAGGAATGATGCCTCATGGGAACGGGAGCTGCACCTGAAGACTTTGTGCTGCTCTTTGTGCTCCTTCGCTACCTCGGTCCACACAATCACAGGTCTTTCCCCTGCCCCTTGAGACTTGCTTAGTCTCCTCCGTTTCTCTGCATCTTTTCTTCTCTGTATGTTTCTTCTTATTCACATTTCTGGGTGGTCATTACTTTGGCTTGCCATAATCTCTGTGGCTCCAATTCCTCTTCTTTCCTCATTCTCCCAACTCTAGTTCATGACTTCTTTTCAAGCTTTCTTTTAGTTTTGGCTCCTGTTGCTAACGCCTTTACTTGGAGTTTATACTCCAAGAATTGCTATTGCTCATCTTTTTTGTTCTATTGATATCTGCCTTTGGGTGAGGTGCCTGCCTTTGGTTTATTCCCCTGTGATGTGAAAAATATAAAACTCTGAGTCTATAATATAAAATGAAGCCATTTTGGAGGGTGAAACCCAAAGTGTGGTTTACAAAGAAATAAGTGCAGAAATTGAAAGTAAGCATTTTGAAACTTTTATGATCATGTAACAGGGTATTTTCTGTTTGTTGAATCTAATAATAAGACACTTGGGGTTGTATTTTATCTGTTTTTAAAATTTCTTTTTTAGTAATCCATTTTAAATATCTTTGACAAAGGCGTCATTTGGTGGGGGGAATAGTCCTTGCTCATGTTTAGTGTAAGAAGAACTGGCGTAGACTGCCTTTTCAGCAAGGCTGTGTGGGTGGGGCAAGTCCCATGACTAACATGTACTTCACCTATAAATAGGATTTGCTATAGGAACATTTTCCACCTACCTTTAGGAGCTACCTTAAGTCCTTTCTGAACAAGGTAGAAAATAAATGAATAACATAGAAACTTTTTTCTTTGCCAAACTTTCACCTCAAAGAGTACTTTTTTTCTTTTATCAAATGTTGCAAGGGTTGAGAGTGAGGTCTTATCAGCTTGTTCTTCACCGCCACAGTGGAGTATGGTTCAAAAACTGCCGAAGAGAGGGTCTTCAAGGTTCCTTCTTGCTCTGATTTTCTGTTTTATATATGTACCTGTGTATATGTATATTTGAATGCAAATAATACAGGTATTTTTAGAAAAATTAAAAAATACAAATGAATAAAACAAGAAAACTACTTATAATCCTACTGCTTAGAGATAACTACACCTGGTATTTTGGTATATACTTATCCAGACCTTTTCTTATGAACATATAAATGTATATATGTTTATATTTTTTTTTTTGAGGAAGATTGGCCCTAAGCTAACATCTGTTGCCAATCTTCCTCTTTTTTTTTCCTCCCCAAACCTGTACACATAGATGTATATCCTAGATGCAGGTCATTCTAGTTCTTCTATGTGGGATGCCACCACAGCATTGCTTGATGAGTGGTGTGTGAGTCCACGCCCAGGATCCAAACTGGTGACTCGGGCTGCTGAAGCAGAGCACGTGAACTTAACCACTTGGCCACAGTGCTGGCCCCATAAATACATATTTCCAAAATTAGAATAATATTTCACATTATTTGGTGTCTTCCCTTTTCAGTTTTGGGGGAGTATCTTATCATATCAACATACGTCTGTCATAAGTTTTTTGTTTTTTTTTTTAAACATTGGCACCTGAGCTAACAACTGTTGCCAATCTTCTTTTTTTTTTCTGCTTTTTCTCCCCAAATCACCCCGGTACATAGTTGTATATTTTTTTCAGTTGTAGGTCCTTCTAGTTGTGGCATGTGGGACGCCACTTCAGTGTGGCCTGACGAGTGGTGCCATGTCCGCGCCCAGGATCCGAACCAGCGAAACCCTGGGTCGCTGAAGCGGAGTGCGTGAACTTAACCACTCAGCCACGGGACTGACCCCTGTCATAAGTTTTAATGGCCATATTACTCTTCAGAATTCTAGAATCTGGATAAGTGAAGTTACTTAAACTCTCCTATTTACCACTAATCTACTTTCTGTTTCTATAGATTTGCCTTTTCTGAACAAATCATGTAAATGGAATTATACAATATATGGTCTTTTGTGGCTGGCTTCTTTCACTAGGCATATTATTCAGGTTTATCATGTTGTAACATGTATCAGTACTTTGTTTTTATTGCTGAATAATATTTGCTTGTGTAGATATACCATGTTTTGGTTACCCATTCACTACTTGATGAACATTTGGGCTGTTTCCACTTTTTGGTTATTAAGAATAATGGTGCTATGAACATTTGTGTACAAGTCTTTATGTGGACATATGATTTCATTTCCTTTGGATGGGTTTTTAGGAGGAACATTGCTACATCGTGTAGTAAATTTGTGTTAAATTTTTGAAGAAACTGCCAAATTGTATTCTAAAGTAGCTGGACCGTTTTACATTTCTACCAGCAATGTATGAGAATTTTGAGGTCCCTCCGCATCATATCCAGTAGTTGTTATCTTCTGACTTTTTGATTATAGCTATTCTAGAGAGTGTGAAGTGATATGTCATTGTGATTTAATTTGTATTTTCCTAATGAGTAATGATGTTGAGCATCTTTGCATGTGCTTTTTTGCCACTTATATATCTTCATTGCTGAAAGTCTATTCAGATCTTTTGCATATTTTTTTGTTGTTGTTGTTTGAGGAAGATTAACTCTGAGCTAACGACTGCCAATCCTCCTATTTTTGCTGAGGAAGACTGGCTCTGAGCTAACATCCATGCCTATCTTCCTCTACTTTATATGTGGGACGCCTAACACAGCAAGGCTTTTTGCCAAGCGGTGCCTTGTGCGCACTGCACCTGGGATCCGAACCGGTGAACCCCAGGCCGCTGAGAAGCGGAATGTGTGAAGTTAACCGCTGGGCCATTGGACCGGCCCCTCGCCTATTTTTATGTTGGGTTATTTGTCTTTTTGTTATTGAGCTTTGAGTTCTTTATGTAATCTGGATACAAGTCTTTTATCAGATGTATGGTTTGCAAATATTTTCTTCCATTTGTTGGCTTGACTTTTCATTTTCTTAATGTCTTTTGCAGTGCAAAAGTTTTTAATTTTTGTGAAGTCCAGTTTATCAGTTCTTTCTTAGGGTTTGTGCTTTTGGTTTCATATCTAATAAATCTTTGCCTAATTTAAGATTTTTCTCCTATGTTTTCTTGTGGAAGTTTTATAATTTTAGTTCTTACAGTTAGGGCTGTGCTCCCTTTTAAGTTATGTTTTATGTTTGGTGTAAGGTAAGGGTCTAAATTCATCTTTCTGCATGTGGATATCCAGTTGTTTCAGCACCATTTGTTGATGACACCATCCTTTCCCCATTGAATTGCCTTGACACTTTTTTTGAAAATTAATTGACCAGACATGTATGAGTTTATTTCTGGAGTCTCAATTCTGGTGCATTGATCTACATGTGTATTTTTAATTCATTTCCACACTGTTTTGACTACTGGTGCTTTATGGTAAAGTTTTTAAATTAGTAAGTGAAAATCTTCCCATTTGTGCTTCAAGATTGTCTTGGTTCTTCTGGGTCCTTTGCCTTTCCATATAAATTTTAGGATGAGCTTGTCAATTTCTGCAAAAACAGCCTGCTGGGATTTTGGTGGAGATTATGTTGAATTTGTAGATTAATCTGGGGAGGATTGCCACTGTAATAATATCGACTCTTCTAATACATGAATGTGAATGTGGAATGTCTTTCCATTTGTTTAGGTCTTCAATTTCTTTCAACAGTAATTTATATTTTTCAGTGTACAAGTCTTACACTTTTTGGTTAAATTTAATCCTAAATCTATTTTGTTCTTTTTGATGCTGTTGTAAATGAAATTATTTTCTTAATTTCATTTTTGGATTGTTTATTGCTAGTATATAGAAATGTAACTGAATTTTGTATATTGATCTTATATTCTGTGACCTTGCTGAAACTGTTTTTTAGTCCTTGTCTTTTTATTTCTTCATGGATTTCTTAGGATATTCTTACAGGATCATGTCCTTTGCAAGTAGACACAGTTTTACTTCTTTCCTTTCAATATATATGCCTTTTATTTCTCTCTTTTTGTGCTTTTTTAATTTTTGTTTTTGCATGATTGCACTGTCTAGAACCTCCAATACAGTTTGGAATAGAAGTATTCATAGCAGACATCATATTTGTCCCCAATCTTAGGGGAAGCTTTCAGTCTTTCACCATTAAGTATGATACTAATTGTAGGTTTTTCATAGATGCTCTGTATCAGATTGAGGAAGTTTCCTTGTATTCCTATTTTGTTGAGAGTTTTTATCACAAATGGGTGTTATCACAAATGGGTATTAGATTTTGTCAAATGCTTTGTATCAGTTGAGATGATCGTGTAGTTCTTGTCGTTTATTTTAGTAATATGGTATATTACACCAATTGATTTTCAGACATTATACCAATTTTCTATTTTGGGGATAAATCCCCCTTGGTCATGTTGTGTAATCTTTTTAAGATGTTGCTGGATTTGGTTTGCTAATGTATTTTTAATTAATTAATTAATTTATTTATTTTGGGGAAGACTAGCCCTGAGTGAACATCTGCTACTAATCCTCCACTTTTTGCTGAGGAAGATTGGCCCTGAGCTAACATCTGTGCCCATCTTTCTCTACTTTATATGTGGGATGCCTGCCACAGCGTGGCTTGATAAGCACTGCGTAGGTCCATGCCTGGGATCTGAACTGGCAAAGCCTGGGCAGGTGAAGTGGAGTATGTGAACTTAACCACTATGCCACTCGGCCAGCCCCTTATATTTTTTATTTTTATTTATCTATTTATTTTTTTGAGGAGGATTAGCCCTGAGCTAACTACTGCCAATCCTCCTCTCTCTTTTGCTGAGGAAGGCTGGCCCTGAGCTAACATCCGTGCCCATCTTGCTCCACTTCATATGTGGGATGCCTGCCACAGTATTGGCATGCCAAGTGGTACCATGTCCGCACCCGGGATCCGAACTGGTGAACCCTGGGCCACCGAAACAGAATGTGCGCACTTAACCACTGTGCCACTGAGCCGGCCCCTATTTTTATTTTTATTATTTTATTTTATTCTTTTCCCTTTTTCTTCCCAAATCCCCCCAGTACATAGATGTGTATTTTAGTTGTGGGTCCTTCTAGTTGTGGGATGTGGGACACTACCTCAGAATGGCCTGAGGAGCTGTGCCATGTCCGCACCCAGGATCCCAACCAGTGAAACCCTGGACCGCCAAAGTGGAGCGTGCGAACTTAACCACTTGGCTCCAGGGCCAGCCTCGGTTTGCTAATGTTTGGGTGAGGATTTTTTGCGTCTGTATTCATGAGGGATATTGGTTTATCATTTTCCTTTCTTATGAGGTCTTTGTCTCACTTTGGTGTTAGGCAATGGTAGACTAACACCAATGAGCTGGGAATTGTTTCCTCCTCTTCTAATGTGAGGATTGGTATATTTCTTCTTTAAATATTTGGTGGAATTTCTATTGAAACCATCTAGACTTGGGCTTTCTTTGTGGTTAATCTTTTAAATTATTAATTCAACATCTTTATCTGTTATAGGTCTATTCACATTTTCTGTTTCTTTTTGAGTTATTTTTGGTAATTTCTGTCTTTGTAGGAATTTAAATTGTCTAATTTGTTGGTGTAAAGTTGTTTAGAGTAGTTATTATAATCCTTTTATGTTAGTCGTGTCTTCCTTCTTTCATTCTTTGTTTTTATAATTTGAATCTTTTCTCTTTTTCTTTGTCAGTCTATCCAAATGTTTATAAAATTTGTTGATTTTGTTAAAGGACCAAATTTTGGTTTCATTGATTCTCTCTATTGTTTTATCTTAGTCTTATTTTAAAAAATTACTATTGCATATGCACATCATTTGAAGAATCTTATTGTTCTGCAAAGCTTACTTACTGCTCTTAGGAAAATAGCAGTACTGATTTCCTGAGACAGATCACTTTCTTGTTCCCTAGAAACAATCTTTTTCATCTCTCTGAGATGATTTTAAATCTATGTCTCTTTTTTTTTGTAGTCTAATTTTTATCAGTCACCATACATTACAAGTCATTTTATTTTATTTTATTTTTGAGGAAGATTAGCCCTGAGCCAACATCTGCTGCCAATCGTTCTGTTTTTGCTGAGGAAGACTGGCCCTGAGCTAACATTTGTGCCCATCTTCGTCTACTTTATATATGAGACACGTGCCACAGCATGGCTTGCCAAGCGCTACCATGTCTGCACCCGAGATCCGAACCAGCCAACCCCAGGCTGCCAAAGCAGAATGTGTGAACTTAACCGCTGTACCACCGGGCCAGCCCCAGAAATCTATATCTCTTAAAAAAATTTTTTTATATTTCTATTTAATTCTCCAGGTTTTGCCATTATCTGCTGACTCCCCAGTACAGAAGATCATAGTTTTCATTCATTCATGCCTCCCCTTTCTCTCCTTTCCACATATAGTGGTTATAGTGATATTGTAATCTTGCTTAGATTAGTTATTCAATGTTTACATTATTACAATTATGAAAACTTCCCAGTTGAGCCATATACTAATTTTTAATAATTTTTCTCTCTTGTACATTTTGTTTTCCTTGGATTTAATAGTTGTCTCATTTATCATTTAGTTTGCTTAAATTCTGTGAACTTAATCATGAATTCAACTTCATACTCCAACCAAGTTGTATAAATCTCTCACTATGTTCAAATAGTGCAAGTGTTTTGTAGTTTTCTGTTTTCATCATCTTAAAGAAATCGCTCCTGGCAGCTTGGGCCAGTCCAGTTGGGACAGATGGCCCTTTACGGGCTTTGCTGCACAGTTGTCACTGGTGTGTCCTTTCTTCACTATCTTGGAAATCCCTTTGCTATTTTCTTGTCTTAAATACTCTGCTTCTAGGATCCTGTGTCTTTCTCTTTCTCAGTTTAGGTTCTTATTTTGGTGGAGCAAATCTTCCATTATCCTGTTGAGAAAGTTCATGGGAGGTAAATATTTTGATGCCTTTCAGATCTGAAATAGTCTTTCTCTTACCCTTGTCTTTGAGTGGTAACTTCTTGGGCATAAAGTTCTAAGTTGGGAATTATTTTCCCTCAGAATTTTTTCAGGCATCTAGGAGATTGTTCTTTTACATTTGTTTATTTAATTTTTCATTTCTTAGTTTGTGTTTTTGATTTCCCAGAGCTCTTTTTTGTTCTCTGAGTATTTTGTTTTTTATCACGTCCAGTTTTTGTTTTCTGAATGTTATTTTCTCTCCTATTTTTCTGAGGATATTAATGTTAGTTTCTCTCTCTCTCTCTTTTAAAGTTGTCTTTTCCCTGCATTGTCTTCAAGGGCTTCTTCCACCCTTCCGTACTGCCCCCCCCTCCCGTATCTGTCTTTCATATTAGATGCCTCCTGACTTCTGGTGATCCTTAGCTATCTGTTCGTATTTAAAAGTAGGGGCCTAAAAAGATGGTTGGAAGCCCAGTGTGTGAGACTTTTTCTGTTTGTGGCTTTCTTTGTAGGTGATCTGGTTAAGCTGTTTTGCTGGAGAACCCCTGGTATTAGCCTCTTTAGGTTTTTTTTCACCCTGTTGGTTAGATTCTCCAGGAAAGACCCTTCCCATTTCTGCAGGGCTCTCATTTATTAGATAACTTTTTACTTGAGCCTCTTGTTTTTAGTCTGGAGCCCTAACTCCATTTATATCTGAAATCTCCAATCCAGAGACCTTCTGTTTTATCATCTCCAGGGAATAAACCCCTAGTGTTGTGCCAGAGTCGGGAATAAATTGGTACCCAGTTGTGTGGTTTATAGGGTAGAGGATCTGAGGATCTCATTATTTGTTTGGCAGACTTTCAACCAATTCTCCTATTTTCTGCTCTACATTTACCCCCTTTTCAAAGGTGTTTCCAATTAACTGCATTTTTTGGGGCTCTGGTGTAAATCAGGTTAATTTCCCCACTGTTGGCTTTGAATTCAACTGTCTTATGTAAATCATTTACCACCTGTCTACTTGCTTTCCAGCTTCCAATGTGTTATTGCTATTGTTTTGTCTTCTGTGCTCTTTCTCCTTGTGGGTTTATACTTCTAAATTCTCTTTGCTGTTGTTTTAATTAAAATTTTAATTTTAATTTTTTGGAGAGAGTAGAGTGCTTTAGTCTGCTGTTTTTAAGCAGGAATCTGTATTCTCTTATTTATGCTTTTTCTTTTTGTAATACGTATTGCATTTACAATCAATGAAATATATCATTTAAAAATGTAAAAAGGAAAGAACTCAATCTCTTCCAAAACTACTCAGCTCATGATAGGATCAGACAGTCTTTAAAAAGGTACCAATCTTGAGCAACGTGGTGGTTTCCCAGTGGACAGTGTTGTTTCTTGTCATATGTTGCTTTGCGTTTTTACCTAGCTTTTGCAGTCGACATCTTTTACTAGACTGTAAGTTTCTGTAGGGCAAGGACCGTATCATGTTCCCTGTGTTTTTTGGAAAAAAAAGTTATCAGAAATACCAGAAATGTAGTGATATATAACTTAATGAGAATTATATCTTATTATGATCTTATTTTATAGGTTAAAGAATGCCTCATCTGATGTAAAACAAATGCTTAAAAGTGAAACAGACTTAGATGTTACTGCTGATCTCAGAAAGAAACTCCATCGGGCTAAGAAAGAAAAATTAGAAATAACAACTAAACACAATGCAGAGGTAGAATTTATTTTTCTCTCAAATAATGTTAAAAGTAGAGTTTGATTATTTTAGATTATTTCATGTTACAAACTTCATGTTTAATGTTTATCACTGTAACATTCTTGTGCTAAAAAGGGAATGATAAAGAAAACATATTTTTTTAATACAGTGGAATAGTGTAGAAGTGTTAAAGTAGAAATTTAATGAATTATGTTTATTTATGTGTTGTCTTAAATTTATTTTAATTAATGGGTTAAGCTTGATAAAAAGTATTAATTGATGAATGTGTTTGTTGACTAAAGCATTTGTAAACTAGATGTTTTTGGAATCTTAGTGTAGATTCCTTGTGGTCTCAATCATGGAACAATCTCTTAAGTATATTTGAGTATGGAATTTTTATTTATAGTGTAATTCATAAATTATCTTAGTTTCTTTGTTTTATTATATTATTATATCTTTTACTAGTATGTGTGTATATATAAATATATATCTCATATGTATATGTACATATTCCAAGGACAATTGTTCTCTTTCCCTCTAAGATAATTTATGAATTGTATGTTTATGTCTCATCTGTCTGTTGTGTTTTTTGCTCTGTTTTCTCCTTTTTTCTCTATTGAAATCTTACTCATTCTTAAAACTCAGCTTAGGCAGCCTGGTGTAGTGGAAGGAATATTGAGTTACATGCCTTAGACTCATTGTTGGCCCTTCCATTTACAAGATATGTGACCTTGGGTGAGTTATTTATCCTGTACATCATTGGTTTCTCATTGTGAAATGCTGGTCCCAAAGGGTTGTGGTGATAATTAAGTGAAATGGAATTTGTGAAGTGCCTGTGCACTGTAGTAATAGCTGTAATTTATTGACAGTTAAGCATAAACAGTGTGTTTTCCTTCTCTTTTTGCTAAATTCCCATATTGTTCTGTCAGGAAACCTTTTAAACCTCCCTAGGTGAACTGATTATTCCTTCCTTTGTTCTCCCATAACATGTTGCTGTTACAGATATTGTAGAGCTGAAACTCTTTTTTCACACTTCCCTGCCTGCTTCCGTCTGTAAGCTTCCTGAGAGCTAAGGAAGTGACCACACTTTGTCTCTGTATCTCTCACGTTACTCCCTCACACACAGTAGGGCCTCAGTGGCTGTGTGTTGAATAAATGTTTGAAAAAATGATTTTCTCAGGCTATCTAAGGAGCAGTGGTTTCTGATTAAAATAACAAGCAAGAATATATGACTATTTTATTTGTATTTTTAGTGGCAATTGAGGTAATTTTAAAGTGGTAATTGAAGTAATTGCTTTTTTTAATGTTGTGATAGTACATACTGAATATAAAGTGGTATTTGTTCAATGTGTGCTAATTGTTCATCTCTGAAGCTTATTTTTTAAAACCAAATATGCATTTTACTTGAGAATATTAGTGTCATGATAATCATTCATCTTTTACATATATTTGAAGTTGTCATCAGATTTCTCTTGGCATAACCCTATATTTATTCTCTTTTATTTGATCAAAATGTTTTGAAGTATGTGTTCACTTTAAAGAGGTAGGAAATTATCTCAGAGAAGAAAGAGAATTTCCTCAAACAGGCAGTTATAATGGGTTCAACTGAAGGTTTATATTACTGTTCATTCTTATTGCTTCAATTACTTGTTTAGATGATTTTACTTATATTGTGTAGTAATTTTTTTTTAGCCATATAATCGCCAAATATGCCCATTATAAAGCAAGGCAGAGAGGAATGAAGCTATCCAAAAATTAAGGCCATATATTTGTCTTATTGGATACTCCTAATGCTGACACACGTCATGCTGGATGATTGTTGCAAAATGTCTTTATAATCTAGGTGTCCATTGATGGATGAATGGATAAAGAAAATGGGTATACAGTGGAATACAATGAAATATTATTCAGCCATCAAAAATAATGAAATCTTGTCATTTGCGACAACATGGATGGACCTTGAGGGCATTATGCTAGTTGAAATAAGTCAGAGAGAGAAAGAGAAATACTGTATGATCTCACTTATATGTGGAATCTTTAAAAAACTGAGCTGATAGGTATAGAGACCAGATTGGTGGTTGCCAGGGGTGGGGGGGTGCAGGTGTGGGTGAAATAGATGAAAGGGGTCAAAGGTACAAAAAAGTACAGACTTCTGGTTATAAAAGAAATAAGTCATGAGGATGTAATTTAAAGCATGTGACTATAGTTAACAGTACTGTACTGCATATTTGAAAGTTGCTAAGGGAGGTAGATCTTAAAGTTCTCATCACAAGAAAACAAGTCTTTGTAACTGTGTATGGTGACGGATGTTAACTAGACTTACTGTGGCAATCATTTCACAATGTATACAAATATTGAATCATTATGTTGTACACCTGAAACTAATATAATGTTATGTGTCAATTTTACCTCAATAAAACAATTAAATTAAATTAAATTTTAAAAATCTTTAAAATGACTTCTCTAGGAGTTTTATTATTGTGGGTTCTTGGACAAGCTATTTAATATTTCTGAGCCTTAATTTTCTTTGGTAGGTATAGAAATAATAGATTAATGTTGGGAAGATTTATTAGTAGGCAGAGGGTTTAGGGAGAGGAGGTGCTTATAGACTCAGCTTCTAGATGAGACCAAGCTGCATTGATGTGGATGATTGGGATGGGAAAATGCCACAAGGTTTTCATTGTTGTAGTGGTTCTTAGAATCATTTGAGCCCAATAATATGGATGTATAAAACAGGACAAGAGACCGTGAAGCTGTTCATCTATCTCATTGGCTCAGATAGTGATGATAGAGTAAGAAAATCTAGAGAAATGAGGATGGGAGAGGTGAAGAAGAAACATATAACTTTCTCTAGCCAGAAGGTACTAGAAACCTAAGACCAAGCAGTGAGCTTTTTAGGCTTTGGGACCTGAAGATGTTGTTTGACTGATCCAGCTAGTCTTCTTCTGAGGAATTCTTAAGCTGGGGTCCTCAGAAACAGAGAAATCAGGGAATCCATGTACTTGGATGAGGAAAAATTACATTTTTATTTTTATTAACCTCTAACTCATATTGAGCATTTCCTTCAGTTATGAAGGGTTTGACCCAGCCAGTCCTTTTCACAATAAACCATAATAGTATTAGCAGTACTTTTGCCTTTATCATCAGTAGAGATCACAGATACATACCACAACTCAGTTATTGCCAATATTTTGAAATATTGTTTATACTTGTCACTACTTTGAAATTACAATGGTTATTAGACCTGCAGGTGGAGCTTGTTATTTAATGTGTTATTAAAGAAGTACGTCAAGGCCAGCCTGGTGGTGTAGTGGTTAAGTTTGTGTGCTCTGCTTTGGCAGCCTGGGGTTCATGGGTTTGGATCCTGGGCATGGACCTACACACCTCTCATCAAGCCATGCTGTGGCAGCATCCTACACATAAAGTTGAGGAAAATTGGCATGTACGTTAGCTCAGGAACAATATTCCTCAAACAAAAAGTGGAAGATTGGCAACAGGTGTTAGCTCAGGGCCAATCTTCCTCACCAAGAAAAAAAAAAAAAAGAAGAAGTACATAGATTACGACATCACAAATTTGTTTTTAGATTATTTATTTGTTTTTGTACTTTGATTCTCTTTGTTATCCTGTGTATTTTATTTTATGCAGTTAATTACATTATTCTGAGAAGGGCCATATTGCCAAAGAGGGTCATGGCGTAAAAATGGTAAAAAACCTTTCTTTTAGGGCTGATATGCGTTAGAGGGCATAAAGGAAGATATGGAGGAAGATGCAGAGAGGAAGTTCTAAGATAGTTGGTTGAGCATAAAAACTTAACAGAATGAAGACATGTTTTAAAAAAGAAGGGCGATCCCATTTTGCTGCTGTTGCATCGTTTAGTGCATGTGTTGAACCTTGAGTGAGAAAACCTCATGGACAGCAGATGTGTTTCTATCAGCTATGCGGGTAGCTCTGGAAATCAGGTAAGGTCCAATCAGGGAAAAGGAGGGACATTGCTAGAGGGAATTGGTTGTACAGGTGGTGGAAGACTTAGGAATCCAAACAGGGAATGATGAGGCCACCCAGAGATTAGTAATAGCAGGAAACTGCCACCACCTCTAGGCCAGAGGGCCAGTGGGAGGAGATGATGTTCCTAGAGTCCAAAGGTTGGGGCTGTCTGGTGGGAGGTAGAGCCATGGTAGGAGCTGTTCAGCTAGTGTTGGGATATTGGAGGGGATGGATGGGGAGCTGGAACCTCAAACAAAGTGCAGCTACTGTCAGAGACATGGCCGGACATAGAGCCATCTGGCAGTGGAGCATGGGAATTACAGTTCTGTGATAAAATAGAGTAGAGCGAAAGAAAGGGGCTGGGGAACAGACCCAAGATCAAACAGCCAAATGATTGACAGTGCACACCTTTTGCTCTTCAGTATTCATTGTCACCCTGCTACTCATATGTAATTCCCATACAATATGTTGTTCCTACATAACATTGCAAGTTGCAACTCAAATATCCTCCATACAAAGATGCTTTCACCTTTTCCAAAATGGGAGACAGAAAGGCTTATTAGTCATTGCATTCATCTCACAGATGATTCATGTCCTCACCATCACATCCTTATAATTTGATGTCTCATGAATTCAATTGAAAAGTTAAACACCACCAACATTCTTTATGTAATGCCAGAGGGGAGGAGCAAAGAAAAAAACATCAGTAGTAACAAATATGCAAAGTTGCTGCAATGCTTAGAGCTGGTCCTAAGGTTCTAAGTTGATATTTATCATTTTTGTCACAACCGATTCCGTGTTCCCCTTACCCTCTGCCAGCATTTCCCTTGGTAGAGTGACCAACCCTTTATTCTTGAAAAGCTTGATTCCTTAATGGTGCTGTCTCCAAGCTTCCAACTTAATGGGTTTTTTTTTTTTACTTTTTTATTGTGGTAAAATATATATAATATTTGCCATTTTAACCCTTTTCAAATGTATAGTTCAGTCGCAGACAGTGCTGTGCAACCATCACCAGTAACTATTGTCAAAATTT